ATTTTGTTTATTTGGATCTCTTCGCGTTACAATTAATATAACCTTTTGGAAAGTCGTTAGTTAATTCAACTGAGCTTTAAACTGACTTAAATATTTTTTTAATAGATTGGGGGTGATGATGAAAAGAGATTAATGTAGACAGTAACTAGGACAATTAGTTAATACCGATCTCTTCACTATTTTTTAATAATGGAGTAGATATGACTCATATTTTAATAGCAACTATTTTGGAAATTATACAAACAACAAAGAGTTTTGGGCTTACATCAAAATAAACAAGGCTTAAAGAGTACATGAAAAAATCTTTATATCTTTTCAGAATGGAAAAAAAATCCTTTTATTAATGTTTCAAGGATGTGTTTGTTTCTTTACACCAAGGAAGAATTCAGTTCTTATCAAAACTATATCGGTACGAGGTGGCTCTAATCACTTATTTTTGTGATCGTGTTCTGATAAAATTTACAATCAAATCTAGAAAGAAAATAATGTATATAAGATGATGCCTCATATTATTAAATGAGCTACTAAGAGATATAGTTATGTAATGAGGATTTAGATCCTCTCAACTATCAAAAAGTAATGGAGGGATCACATAATCACAACTAATAATTATGGAGTCGGGGGTTGTGATTTTTTATTAGAATGCAAATTAGAAATTAGTACAATACACTGAGATATGGTGAATGTTAAATTTAGATTATATCATCTTTCTACTAAATAATTAATAGTTGAGATTAAAAGTAGTGGTCTCTCTCTACCACTTTTTCTTTATAGTGGAGAGGATCCAAATGCATGTGATGAGATTCATATCCTCTCCACTATCAAAAAATTAGTGGATGGACCACTACATAATCATAACCATTAATTATTGAGTCGGTGGTTGTAATTTTTTCATTGAGCGTAAATTAGAAATGAGTGCAATACACTGGAATGTGGTGATTGTTAAATTTAGATTGTATCATAACTACCTACTAAATAATTAATAGTTGAGATTAAAAGTAGTTTGTCTCTTCACTATTTTTTTATAGTGGAGATGATTCAAATTCATGTGATGGTATTAAGATCCTCTCCACTATCAAAAAGTAGTCGAACGACCACTATATCACAACTATTAATTATTGAGTTAGTAGTTGTGAATTTTTTTGAGTGTAAATTAAGAATGAGCACAAAACACTAGGGTATGGTGAGTGTCAAATTTAAATTGTACCATAATCTCCTACTAAATAATCAATGATTGAGATTAAAAATAATGGTCTATCCACTACTTTTTTTATAATGGAAAGGATCTAAATTTATATGATGAGATTCAGATACTTTCCGCTATAAAAAAAGAAAAATTCTTCAAGGACCCAAAATATGAAACCAATAGGGGGGACTAGTGAGGTGTCCCCCTCCCATTAGATAATGAGTTGATCATCATTAATGATGGCCAACTCATTATCCAATAGGAGGGGGATACCTCACTTGTCCCTGTAGGCTGTCTAAAAATCACAATAGATAGCTTATCCTCCATCAAACACCGATGATGGAAGTTACAATCTGACGACTTCCAGAAGGCTACAATTTGAAGACTTTCACGTAGATCGCTGAAGGTTACAATCTGACGACCTTCACAACAACCGATGAGAGCTCTAGTTCAACAGCATTCACAATCAATATCGGGAGTTACAATCTGACGACTCTCATATTCTCAAGGAGCCAAGACGAAGATTACAAGATAATGATCTTTGCAACGCTATGACAAAAGAGATTACTTGGTGATAATCTCTTCAAGACAAGACGCGGAGGTCCTCCCCGTGTGTCAACATCAAAACGCCGGGGTCGAACCCGCGTTACAACATCAAAACGCGAGGGTCGAACCCACGTTACAACATCAAAACGCCAGGGTCAAACCCGCGTTACAACATCAAAACGCTGGAGTCGGACCCGCGTTACAACAAGCGAAACGTGAGCGACCCTCGCGTTCTGGATGTTCAGTCAACACCCAACCTCGCGTCTCAATCCTAAGACGCGAGGTTAGGGTCCTGAACGCCAGGTTGGGCGTTTGACTCATTCAGGGTCCTGAACGCCAGGTTGGGCGTTTGACTCATTCAAATATGAGTCGAATGGTTTCAGAACCGTTTTTCCCACGATCTGAGGAAATCACGCCCACTTAGGAGGGGATTTAGAGGGCAGTTACACCCCCTTAATCCCCTATAAAAGCGAGTAAACTCAACTGAGTTCAGGGTTCGATTTTTCTTAGCTTGAATCGACCATTGAAGGCTGGCTTTTTGGAGCTGATAATTGGCAGCAACAGGGGAGATCATTGGGCGAACTTCGGAGGAGATCGGCATCATCCTTCAAGGAAGATCATCTTCAACGTTCGGCAACAGGGGCTTCCTCATCCTTGGCTATTAACCGATTTTCGGTTTAAATCAACTCTTTTTCAAGAGTTAAAACTCGTTCAGAGTTATCAACTCGTTCAGAGTTCTAAAACTTGCCACGCAAGTTCTCCACAACGTCAAATCGTGAGGAGAAGACATCGTTCCAGTGAATCAAGACGTGCGGATCGTCAACGGAGAGCAAACTCGACGCGAGCATTCGAGGGAGGCACTCCATCGCCACCGTGAAGAACCCAGAACCTTATTGGTCCCATATTTAGGGTCCCTGTAGCAAAACTTAAAAAAAAATAGTGAAGAGATCACTACGTAATCACAAATTATTGGTTGATGGTTGTGATTCTGATACTCCACTCATTAAATTAAACAGGTCAGATTTAGTTAAGAGTAGCTACAGCTCTCATTGAAAATTGAAATTAAAATTGAAGAAATTGGTTGGCTTGTCGTCAGTCCCGTTCTTCAACCTAACGTGGGACTGTATTTTTCCATACAAAGGAGCAGCTGGGCTCTGGGCACAAACACAAGTGCAACATTTATGGTCTCTACTTGATCGTGCTTGGCTATAAATAGAGTGTATTACGTCAAGCTAGAAAGTAAACCTATATCTAATGATGGAAATATTTATTAATCCATGTGCTTAAAAAACTTTTAAATAATCAATTCACACACGGATGTTGTACTCCCCCCGGCACATTAAAATAAGGATGTACTTCGCAATACATCGGAAAATGGACTTGGACCAGCCCTATTCTAAATTGTTTTTAAAAAAAATAATAATAATTCTAGCGTATTCTTTTGCCAAATTAAAAAAGAGTATCTAAAATTAGATCAGGTTCAATCTTGATCCATTTCTAAAATGTTTTCAAAGACATTATAACTATTTTCCTTAAAAGTTGCTATAGATAAGATATACAATACAAGCATAGTATATATCCTCATGGAGCTTATCACATGGTTATTTAACCATTTGCAGTTCAGTTGTATATTTGCCCAATTCTTTAATACTGTTTGCTTAATCCTTTATGTTGAGAAAAAAATTCATCACTTAAATTCAAAATTAAAACATTATTTTACTCAGTACTTGAAGCCGGTGCTTTAACTTTTTTTTTGAAAAGAAAAAAGAGCGTAATTAAGGTAACAAGAAACTAATAATAGAATTCAAGAAAGGAGGGTTTGGTTCAAGTATGAGATATGAATGCGGGAGAGGGAGGTGATTGGGAAATGGGGGATGAAGAAGATGACAGAAGAGAATAGGTTATACGATGAGAAATGAGTTGGTGGAATATGAAAGAATTAAGTAAGAATCAAGTTTAGATTTTTTTTAAATACAATTAGATACATTTGAAGACAGCTTATTAGACAAGAGCATGATTTTTCAACTCTAGGGTCTGAGGCAATTTTTTTCTTAGAAAATGTCGATAAATAAGTTTTGATTTTCACATAGGAAATATATGTTACAGGTAAACTTGCATTCCTTAAATATTGCTACTGTTAAGTATAGAGTATTGGGAGAAGTTGATCATAATCTTCGTTAATATTAGTGTACGTAATGTTTATACACAAGTGAAAAGGAAGCTTCCAAGCAACGTAAGACAAAAATATACGCCTATTAATTATGTACAATATTTAATATCCCCTTAACCTTTATTTTAATCTAGCAATGATGGTTTACCAAGAAGAAAAGATGTCAGTGTGAGTTTCGTTGAATAGGTCTGTAAGCTAAAGATCGATAGACACAAGGAAAAGTACTAATAGTGGCCATTAAGAAAATAATGACAAGTAAAGTGATGATCTATCTCAATGTGTTCGTTTGTGAAGAAAGATGGAATTATCAAGTGTAGGACATTAAGAGAATTTTCATAATACTTTTCATTGATATTACAGTTTTTATATAGAAGTGAAAATAGAGTTGTTCTAGTATCATAAATGATGTGAAACTAAGGGTATGCTTGGATATAATGGTGATTTTTTGGTGGTGCTTTCAAAACATCATGATGTTTTTATCCAAAAGAGTTTCCAAAACACCATGGTAAGCATTTTTGGTCAATAATCGTTTGAACTTTTATAACACTAATATTTAACATACTTTTAATATATTAAATATTAATTATATTATAATCTATTTTAACTAATGTATTATAATATTATATATAATTAATATATTATAATATTATATTTAACTAATAGATTATAATTGTATATACTGTTCATATTTGTAATATATATTATATTATAATACTTAAATACTATTTTAAAATATTAATGTAATTAATTATTAGGAAAAATTGTGTCAAGGCTCCAAAAGTAAAATCCTTATGTGCTGCAGCCCCTTCACTTTTTTCTCATGTGATTCAGCTCCAAGAAATGTCACATCATGTGCTGTAGTTTTTTTATGTAATTATCATGCCAACTAACCACAAAGAG